GCACATTGAAAGACGAATTCGAAATTGAATTTCGCAGAATTAGCAGCCTTGTCTTCAGACTCTAGAACCCGAAGGTCGTTGCATGTTCCTTCCTCGCCCGTAGTCATAAGATCAAGAAGTTAGCAGCGTGCCCAACGCCACATCAACATATTTTACTCCTCGGGCGAACTCGGCTGATGAGTTGGCACACCCCGCACACAACCGAAAGACGTAGTTAGCTTATTAATTACTCGACATGTACGCTACTTAGGTTTGGTAATTTTTAGGGTCAACAGTATTATAACTATATATCAAATTAGTGTGGAACTTACTTTTATCAGTGGTATGAAATCGCTCACATCAACTGGCTTTCACAAAGTTATAACATACATCGCATCTTCAAGTAAGAATCAACATGGCTCAGTGCTTTGTATTAATAATCTGACATTTAAGCGTCAAATGATTTTGTGTCTATTAGTGTCATCATGCATGCATGTACATGTTAAAAGAAACAGTGTCTAGCTAGCTTAGACTTCAGACGTAAATTCTACAGTTTTCTATATAAAACACAAAAGTGTGTGAATGGTAGGAAGATTTCCTCAAATTGAGGGAGAACATTTTGTGTTTTTGTTGAAATTCGGGAAACCAAATCTTGGTTTGCTAAAAGCCTAAGTAGAGGTAAAAGGATTCAGGTCCAATTACTTTGCTGAGGGTGCTGCATTCTTTCAACGATCTATTTTATTTTAAATATATAGAATAGTTTTGGTAACCTATTAAATTTTGAAGAGAGGGAAATATAAAACTATAGGCAGTTGTACTAGCTAGGTTATTTATAGACAATATAAGACACCGTGTCAAATGCTAGCGGCTGCATGCTGCCCGAGAACATCGTCATTTTGCTTCCAAAATAAAAGTAGGGCGTATCCAGTAAGGTCAAGGTGTCTGCAAAGGCTATGCTGATCATATCCACATGCTTGATTGGCAAACTTTCTATGACGTGGGCTGCTAAGAGTCATGTATGGCAGTGATTCAACAAACAATAAAAAAATGATCTCCCTTGCATTCTTTCTCCGCTCTTCTGTTTTAGTTGTGGGATTGAACTAATAATAAAATCAAAAGTTGCAACCAAAATTAGGAGATTAGGAATGCACAAAGAAAGTGCGTAGTCGCTTATTTCTTAAAGAATTTAAACTAGCCCATTTACAACTTGTAGGACTAGGATGCTAATCTTGGTGAGAGAAAAGAGTTAGAGGTTTTGAGAAAAAGATAATACATAGATGGAAATGATAAGAAGACTAAATTTTTAAACCCTATATAGATAAGAGAGGCATGAAATATAATCTTGGGGTTGGGAGATTGTTAATTCAAGGGTATTCAAGGAACGTGAAGAGAAAAATTATTTAGTAGGGGGCTGGAAATTTAAGATGGTGGGAATAGCAACGGTGCAACACTACTTCCACTTAATATTTGGAACCTATGCAATGACTTATTTCTTTTTACACATAAGGGCATGCTTAGCCCAAATTAAATGAGAAATTAAAATGATTGAGTGTGAGCAAAACAATCCCCAATATTAATGGCATATTTATATGTTTTTATTTTCTCAGATATGTCATACCCAAAATTTATGAGACCCACTTACTTTTTATTCATTTGGTTGTTACATGAAAATGAATGATACATATTTCTTCAAATTCCATTCTTTATACAAAAATACTACACTTACTACCTAGTTGTACTATCATTTGTATCATCTCTCTAATAAAGATATGACATTTTTATTCATTTGGTTGTTATGTGAATATGAATGATACATATTTCTTCAAATTCCATTCCTTATACAAAAATGCTACTCTTACCACCTAGTTGTACTATCATTTATACCATCTCCCTAATAGAGATGACCTATCTCCATTAGAAAGATGGTACAACTAGATGGTAAGAGTACCATACTCTTCCTTATAAATAAACGTGACCTAAATTTTGGTTTGACACATGTACATAAAAAAGACTATTAGGGCTCGTTTGGTGGGCTAGATGGGACAAATTATGAGCCTTTAAAATAGGACTTGAGTCCAAGACCGTTGTTTGATACGTTTAAAGAGCATCATGGATTAGATTCCTACTTTGGATCCAAGTCCAGAATTGGACGGATTCATAACCCGTTGATGAACATGGGTTAAGAATGCATCGCGCCTCCTCCTTTCCAGTTAGCTCTTCCTCACATCTCTTTGTCGCCAACATCTCTCTTTATCTCTCTCTCTCTCTTTCTAGGTTGAACACCAACGAGGATAGGTCGCGGGCAGCGGTTTTTGGGTCGTCATAAGCAGTTCAAAATACCAAATAGCAGACATAAAACCCAACCTATCCTATCTAATCCTAGCCTAACCAATTCAAAATACGAAATTCAACTATGTCCGTTCCACCATACCTGCCCTTAGTGTTTAATAGTTAAACAATTTGGGTTGTTGAGTATGATAATGTGTAAGAATAAACTAGGTCGAAGATTTGAAGCACTCAACTATAACAAAAAAAAAGAAAAGAAACCACAACAGATTTAAGTTCCCATCCACATAAAATGACTAGAGCAAAGTCCAGTAAGCTCAATTGAGAAAGAAACCCTTGAAAGTGTTGGGGCTTAGGACCTTAGGTTAGTAAGAACCCAGTAATAACTTCTCAAAAAGAACTCAGTAATAAGAGACGTGAACAAAAAAAGCCACTGGTAAATAGCCAAAATGGTTCCTGAGATTTACATAACACATCATTTTGGTCTCTGAGATTGAAAATCAATAGAAATGGTCCATGAGATTGTCAACCATCCATCATTTTGGTCATTCGTTAAAAACTCCGTTAAGTGTCCCGGAGCTCTAGGCCGGAAGTTTAGGCAATTTTCAAAACTTCATAACTCAATCGATTCTTAACCAAATTCGACCCATAATATATCAAAATGAAGATAGGAAAGTGTATAACAAGATTATACTTATTTGGAAGCTCAATGGTTGCTGGAGATGGCCAAAAAATAGCCTGAAAGGTGACTAGTTTGTGGGAAAATTGGAAAACTTGCCAGAAACTGGGTAAACTTTAAACTTGGTCGGAAAACGGCTTCAAAATGGCTAACTCGAGACCAAGACAACCAATTTCTAGCCATTTTCTGGCCAAACCACTGATATTTAGCCTTCAAGAAAGGTACCATTCTCTTCGTCTCATTGAGAAGTATGATTTTCGTTTTTGAATCACTCGATTTCATTGAGTATTGAAGAACGTATGAACGTTTAAAGTTTACCCAGTTTCCAGCGAGTTTTCCAGTTTTCCAGCGGACCAGTCACCTTTCAGGCTATTTTTTGGCCATCTCCAGCAACCATTGGGATTCCAAATAAGTATAACCTTGTTGTACACTTTCCTATCTTCATTTTGATATACTATGGGTCAAATTTGGTTAAGAAACGATTGAGTTACGAAGCTTTGAAAATTGTACAAACTTCCGGCCAAGTGCTCCGAGACACTTAACGGAGTTTTTAACGGAAAAACCAAAATGATGGATGGTGGACAATCTCAGAGACCATTTCTATTGATTTTCAATCTCAAAGACCAAAATGATATGTTATACAAATCTCAGGGACCATTTTGGCTATTTAGACAAAGAGCCACAACAAGTGGCTCAGTAGTAAGGGCGTAGGACTGTGGCTCTCCAAGCAGACAAAGAAAATGTGGAAGGTTTTGAGTTCAATGTTCCGAGTTGGCGAGTCTGCTTAATTGTGGTTATCGTGACTTAATTGCCACCTAGTTGTTCCCTTTTAAAAAAAAAAAAAAAAAAAAAAAAGATGTGAACAAAAAAGAGCTCATTTGAGTTAACAAATGTTTGCTATATGCTAGCCACATATTCGATCCCCACATTAACCACCCAAACTTCTTTTGCAATTGCTGAGTCTCCCTTTGTTTTGATGTAATGGTTAAAACAATTTAAAGATAGGTGGGCATATGAACTGATAAAATGACTTCCTCTACTTTTATCATCTAGAGTTTGAAAACTTTACAGTAACTTTTGTCAATAATATGAACCGTTATATTTTAACCTATGTATATATCTTAACCGACTATTAACGGCTAAGACTCTGCTTGAAATTGCTATTTCTCTTAAATATATTTACTTTTTTTTTTTCTAAATTATTTATGCTCTTTTTCCGGCAATATTTACTCTTCCTCTCTTTGTTGTCCCTCAACCCAACTGACGACAAGCATGAAGAATTCATCTTTCTCCTTCAAACTTACACACCCATTCACGGATGCCTTGGAAAGAAAATTTGAGTAGCTTCATCAGAGCTTCAGATACAATTGTTAGATTAATCCTTTCGGAGTTTTAGAATGTTAAGTGCAGTGCAGCTTAATATTCCAAAGTGCTGCACTCATCACCATAAAATATACAGTCTGGAACTCATGGTCAAGCAACCTATCCCAATATGTTTTTTCATTTTTTTAATATAAGAGGTATCCCATCATACATAGGCATTAGCTAAAAAAAGCTGCAGTCTTTGTAGCAGGAGAAAGACCTTTACGAGCAGAGCTAGAAGACAATTCAATTGCATTACCTTCTCATTAGCACTGGATTTCCCAGAAGAATCCTTCGAAGTAGACTTCTCAGGGACATTTTGAGCGGCAACTAAATTTTGGCCCCGAGGCAAATGGTACACTAAGAGAGAGCTGGTAGCTCCAATGAATATATCTGCGAGAATTCAAATTCGGTTTGAGTTTTAAACTTTTGCACGTTTTCCATTAGACCAATTCGTTGAAATTCAATCCCAAAATTTGTTAATACCAACTTATACAACACATGTTGATCGAACCAAAAAACCAAAAAAAAACAAAAAAACAATTGATATAACACGTAACATTGCAGTTGTTTATTAGTTGGATTTTCAAAGCTTTAGGTACCCAATTGGGCCTTCCTACAATAACCTGATTGGGTTCTGTAGTGTGGGCTTTTGCAAACTTAAGTCATTTTTAAACCCAAACCGCCCTATGCCGCCCTTCATCGGGCGCTTTCGTAAACATAAACCAAAAACCCTAACTGTGCTTTACTCGGGAGTTGTCACGCAGTCCTAGCCCCATCGCACAGATCTTCTCTCTCGTCGTGTTCGACTAGGTAAGGATCTTTATCCTGTAAAACTGTGTAATTTATCCAAATTTTAGTAGATAATTTTGATGATCTGTCGTTAATTTTATGAATATCTGTTCGTATTCTCCTTACTTGAGGATTCAATTAGTCTCTCGTAATGTTCGATCTTCGTTGGATTATAATATACTTTCACATTTTACGTATAATTAGAGCTTGATGTGGTTAGTTCTATTCTATTTAATTTTTTTTTAAATTTAATTTGAACAATTTGATAGCTAGGACTGTAAATAAACTAACTGAGCAACATTGAAATCAGCCCACATAACAAATTTAATGTTTTGAAAACTTGAATTAGTGGATTTTCCAGTTTGTTATCGGTTTTTCGATGTTGAAGTTGCGCAAAAGAACTTATCTTGCTTCTGATGGCGTTTCAGATATAACTTTTGTTTTTTCGAGCTTTTTAGTGTTGATAGTCTGGATACCTCACTAGAGCATTCTCACAAGATTTTTAATCTTCTTCTGTATCATTTTATTGCTAACAGAAAACGTGACACAAAACCGAGCGCAGTGGCGTTCGAGGATTCATACAACCAACCCACATAGTGGGAAAAGGCTTTGTTGTTTTTGTTGTTGTTGTTGTTCTGTATCATTTTATTATAATGGTAATGTGTCAATACTAAAATTTTTTGTTCTGTTTTGATCCACGAAAACCCTGTCTTGATTTTAGTGACTTTTTTTGATGAAAATTTCATTCTCCATGGTGTGGCGTATACTTTTCTTTGTTGGAGGGCTTGTTTGGTACTCTGCTCGAATCCAACTTTTTAAACTCAAAAACAATTTGCAAGTTTTAGGTCTTAAAAAACTTGTTTGGTAAGACTATTTTCAAAAACTGAACTCAAGACTAACTCAAAAATATAGTCTATTATCTAAAAACATAAAAAGTGAGTTTTTAGAGTTTTTAACTTAAACCCACTCATTTCTTTTCTCTCCCTCCTCCCCTCTCACTCCAAATCTATCTCTCTTCTTTCTTTTTTTTTTTTAAACCTTTTTTGTCTCTTCTCCAATCCGTTCTCTTCATTCTCTCGGTTCTTTCTCTCACTCCTCTTCCTCTCTATCTCGTCCAATCCTCTCTTTTCTTTCTCTTTCCTTCAATCATCTCTTACTTTCTTTCCTCCTCTCTCCTGCGACCCCCTCTTTTTAGATCTCTTCGTCTAGTTTAAGTCGTAAGATTTAAAAAATTTAAATCATAAACCAATCAAGTTTTTGAGTCTTAAAGAAAATTGTTTTAAAGAAATGTTCTTAAGAAATGTTTTGAGAAATGATAAAAAAATTTCCAAAAAGATACCAAACATACCCTTAAGTTTTGCTTTTCTTAATGCTGTATCAAACGGTTGCAAGAATTAGTTTTGGATTTGGCATGATACATCTACTTAAGTTACATGATACATCTACTTAAGTTATAATATTTGATCTGTGCCTACTTAGATTTCTTACCTTCTGTTGCCATTTTGTTTAGTAGTATCAGTAGTTTCTGCCATTCAGTTTTTACTTAATACTCAGGTTAATATATCTTGTTCCTTTCCAGGTTCAGCTGTTGGATTAAGAACTTCCCAAAACCCTCGGTTCGAGATGAGGTAATGATTAGTTTGATACGTCAATCCACAATTCTTCTTAGCTTTTATTTTCTGAAGTACTAACAAATTTTCCTTTTCCTTTTGTTTTGTGTTTATCATCCTCGCTTCACAGCCGACCAATGGAGGAAGATGTAAGTTATAGTGCTCTTGAGCTTATTTAGTGCATCTTTGTTATGTCTCTCTTTGCACCATTAAATGTTGTTAGTTTTCATGGAAACAGTGTGAGTCCATACTCTTGTTGCACATCAATTAGTCATTTTTTGGTTCAATGCATCGGCACACCCGTAATTATCTAATGAAATTGTAATTTTTAATTGTGTTATGGTTCAAATGGTCTGTGTATTTCTTTAGGGTCTTGGCATAAACTTTCTAGCAACTATTGACTTCTTGTTCCTGTAATGAAATCATCGTGACTAAACATTTGAGATTGACCTCGCTTGCTAAATGATGTGGTCTCACGTGTCCATTGTCCTGCTCATTACTGAAACCCCTAAATCAACATATTTATTCTTAGTGGTATCATTTTGTGTAAATATGCTTATCGAACCTGAATGCTGCAGGGTGCCAAGAACGAGGAGGAGGAATTCAACACAGGGCCACTTTCTGTCCTTATGATGAGTGTAAAAAATAATACTCAGGTAATGCTTTCCGAGAATCTTATGGTTCTTTGTCTGGAAAGGCTTTACATACCAAGGGCAAGTATTCTTATTCAATTTGGTTCTTGTCGTGCAAACAGGTGCTCATCAATTGCCGTAACAACCGAAAGCTTCTTGGCCGTGTGAGAGCATTTGACAGGCATTGCAACATGGTTCTGGAAAATGTCAGGGAGATGTGGACTGAGGTATTTTCGGTTGGTTCTTTTGCATTTTGATTTCATTGGGATACAGCTTGTGGTTGTTGATCATCGATCATCAACGCTATGTTACTTATCGCTAGTTCTTTTTTAATTGTTTATTTGTCTATGTAGGTGCCGAAGACTGGAAAAGGCAAGAAAAAGGCCCAGCCGGTTAACAAAGACAGGTTCATCAGCAAGATGTTTCTCCGTGGGGACTCTGTTATCATCGTTCTTAGGAATCCGAAGTGAGGTGTGAACGTAGCACACAATTCTAATGACTTGTAGATGTAGTCTGCTGAAAATTGTAGAAGTACTATCGTCAGGAGTTTGAATTACACTTCTTAGAGCAACTTTCCAGTGCTGTATAACTTCGTTTCGATCTCTGTGTGAATTTCAATTGACAGGTACTAAAAGCTCTCTTTAGAGTAACATCCGGTGACTTACAGTTCGTGATCAAATTCTTAACTCTGTTTGAATCTTTGTTAATTTCAATTGACAGGTGTTTGGACTTCATAATCGTAACATATAGAATTACCATGTGCAAGCCGAGATCCCTTTGTAGCCCGGCGGCTTTTCCCGGAGGGGTAAAAATGTCCGGCGGCTGTTTTGCGTGTTTCGTTATATGAATTTGCATTGATATTGATTTTATCGTAGTATAATTGTGAACCCGTTGATCGAACAGCTACAACTCCTTCGATCAAACTTGTTTTCCGTTGTTGTGAACTCATCCGTCTGCATTAGGTTTCCGGACTGGAAATTTCTTCGTTGTGGTATAGGTCCTTGTGCTCGAGTCTTGACCGCGCTGATAGGCAATTAACGTGTCCAAGTCTTTCCTTTATTTATTTTTTAAATTAATTTTCTTTATTTTGACTATTCCTTTGTATTTTTCTCTATTTCTGTACATGTAAAATCAAATTTCTCCACTTGTCCTTTAGATTCTTCCAACAATAAATTGTCAGCGTCAATTAAATCGGTGCTAATATTCGTTAAAATTTTATGGGGCTGCTCCCTGCGACAAAACGCCCATACGTCATTATGATCTTAATTAATCGTGTTTAACGACTTATTATATGGACAGTGGTAGGTAGGTCGTACACGATTTTGAAAAGGCAAAGCTCCGAAAGATGCTTTTGTGCCTAATTCCAAACTCCCTTGCCTCATTCCTTCAAAAGTTTTCATCATTGCAATAAAATAAGTAACGATAAAATTCAAGAATAGGATAATCATACAATCACGTGATATTGTTTTATCTATCTAATTTTGTTATAACACGTTGAGACTTGACATAAATTTTGACATAACTTTAGCATCTATACATGATTCAGAAGTCGTCTAGTAGTCGTTTGGTTTTCAATTTTTGCACTTACATTTTGGTTTTCAGTTTTCATTTTTCTTAAAAACTAAAGTAGCTAAAACGAGTATTCATTTTTTAAGTTTTCGAAAAATTAAAAAAGAATGGTCATCAAAGAATCTCGAATTCATTTGTAAAATGTCATGTTGTTAATCCAAAACACGTGAACAATGGCTCGCGTAAATCATACATCATGCGAGCGTCGTAATGATAACACCAAAAAATTTCTTCAAAGATGATAAGATATTTAGTCATATGGTTTGATTAAGCGGTGGCCGGCGGCCCCGTTAGACTCGGTCCAGAAAAATTCACAAAAACCCCAGAACGACACGCCATGTTTGTTTAAAGTGGACACGTGTCGCCTGATAAACACAAAATATTCAGATGCACACGTAGGTACATACATAAGCAGTCATTGGATTGCAGCCAAATATAAGAGTCCTCCTATCCGGCTGGTTTTACTTTGACAGCTCTCGACTCTGCGCTCAACTGCAACTAAACAACACCCGAAAGCTCGAAATTTGAAAACCGGTGTTTGGATTCCGGTGCAAATACCTCCTATCCGCAGTAAGGAATATCGTTATTCTCGATGGGGAAAGGCGGGGGCTGTGTCCCAAGCAAGAAGAAAGTCCTCTCCGATGCCGCACCAATTCCCGACACCGCCAATAATGCCTCGCGAAGCCCGGCGCCGGCTTCCACCGGCGGCACTCCCAGTTCCGCTCCCAAGCCAAACAACGTTTCTGTCGTCGCCGAATCGCACCCGAATCCGGGCCCGGTTACGAAATTGAGGATATTCATAGTGTTCTACTCGATGTACGGGCACGTGGAGGAGCTGGCCAGGCGGATGAAGAAGGGGGTTGACGGCGTGGAGGGGGCGGAGGGGGTTCTGTACCGGGTGCCCGAGACGCTGCCAGCCGAGGTTTTGGAGAAGATGAAGGCGCCGCCCAAGGACCATGAAATTCCGGAGATTTCGGCGGCTGAGCTGGCGGGGGCGGACGGTGTTTTGTTTGGGTTTCCGACGAGGTTCGGGAGCATGGCGGCGCAGATGAAGGCGTTTTTCGACTCGACCGGGCAGCTGTGGAAGGAGCAGACCCTGGCTGGGAAGCCTGGTGGGTTCTTTGTCAGCACCGGGACTCAAGGCGGCGGCCAAGAAACCACTCTGTAAGCTTTTGCCTCAATTCTCAATTCTAAACTTCTTTTATTAAATTAAAAAATCTAAGAAGTTGAATTGGGAGTTGAATTGTTTGGTTGGTTTTCTCATATGGTTTGCAAAATTGGGTTTTTATGCTTTGTTAATTAATAATTTGTGAAGATTAATGGAGATCATTGTTGCCCAAATGAAGGTTTATCGGTTTTAGCTGCGCAATTGACATGAAATTAATAATTTTTATGGATGGTAGTGTTTGAGTTAGTGGAATTCTTGTTTAATTCGAAATCAGATTAGTAAAGTTTGGGTTTTTGGGTAGCATTGTTCCAATATGCATTTGAAGAAATGATTTTTCCATGTTTTTTAGGGATTAATGTGCATAAATTTGTGAGGTTAAACTTTCAAATTTGTTTTAGAATAAAATGTTACACTATAGGATGCATAAAGCTTGTTTCTTTGTATGGTTATTTAGTTTTGGGCTATTTGTCGCAAACAATCTGAAGCAGAAGCACCTTGTTATTAATTACCCTAGTTTTATGGTATCGGATCCATCCTTCGGTTAAAGTTACTGCTCAGCCTTGAAAGGTGTAAATTGATTAGAAATTTTATTGAGACTTGTGTTCTGCTCTTTTGTCGCAGATGGACGGCAATCACCCAACTAGCACACCACGGAATGCTGTTTGTTCCCGTTGGGTATACTTTTGGAGCTGGCATGTTTAAGATGGACTCTGTAAGAGGGGGTTCTCCGTATGGCGCTGGTGTCTTTGCTGGTGACGGCACAAGAGGCGCAAGTGAAACTGAGTTGGCTCTTGCAGAGCATCAGGGGAAGTATATGGCATCAGTAGTCAAGAAACTTGCCGCCTGATAGTGATTTCCGGATTTTAGCATATTTCTTTGCCATCATTTTCCTGTTCTGTTTGTCGATCTAAATGTATTCCTTCTACGATCGTTCTTGGCATTCTCTTGTTACCTATATCGATGTCAGTTCTTTCTTATGGCTTCACTTCAAGTTGTTATATATGTTCAGAAAGATGTAAAGGTTTTTAATTTGTTCTTTCCCTGATTGTTGTCCAATAATTTGTGAATTTGTGGGGTGTGTCATATTGTATACTTTCGGTTTGAAAACGTGTAATTCAGATAGCACTTGACATATCAATAAAATTCGCACATTTGTTACGATTGGTGTTGATGAAAACTGGTTGAGAACAGTAAGTACTTTGCTGCGAGGAGCAGTTGGCTTTTCTTGTGTGCAAATCTGTAACTACTAGCAATCATCAATGTGGGAATGTTTCTTGGTGTAGAGAAAATCTAACCATGATTGCGTCGGGTAAGTGTACTTCGTTATTCGATTTTCGGGCAAGATGATAGACATCGGCAGTTGATGACAGCAACTGCAGATTGCATTGCTGGGCGATAGGCCATAGGTCTATCAAAACACATTGATCTTGGCTTCATTGGTAAATCCATTGATAGTTATCGCTGCAACATAACGAATTTAAGTTGAACAGAATAATTTAAGTTCGAAACTCTTTCTCTGTAAATTTTAATTAAATTAAATATTGCTTGAATAAAAGATCAGAAATTGTTATTTTGTGTAGGGTGCAATTTAGGCGGATTGGAAGGTCAACCAAATTCTAACCCAACTTTTACAATTTGGGCTCGGGTTCGGGTTGGGTTTTATTCAAGTTTATTTGGACTCGGGTTTAATTGGGTTAGGGTTTAGTTGGGTTGGGTTCGGGTTGCCTAATTTTTTCAAGTTTAATCTTAAACAATTTAATTTCCAATAATTCCTAAAAAAAATTAAGCCAAGTAGCATCAAATCTAGCTAACATTAATTTCATAAATCAATCTACTATAAAGTTTTAGGATTTAGAGACTATGAATATGGGCTTACTAATCAAAGCCCCTTATTCTCTAAAAGCTTAAGTAATTATAAAGGGTAATTTATTAAAAAAATATTAGAAAGGGCATTGGTTTTTGGACTTGGCTCACTTGGGTGTAGTATGAGCATTAATTGAAATGGGTTACAATCTGGTTAGATTTGGTTTGGTTAGTCAGGTTGGGTTTGATTGGGGATGGACGGACAAATGATCAACCCAACTCAACCCAATCAATGAACGGGTTGAAATTGGGTTGGACTTGGACGGATTATAACTTAAAAAAATACTCACTTATTTGGAGTTTAAAGTCGGGTTGGACATAGATGGGTTCGGATTGGCCCAATCCAAGTTGCACCCCTACTTTTTTCATAATGACGTTTTGAACCCTACCGTAGGCGACAAAACATATCATAATTTAGGAGGATCGAAGGAATAGTGACAAGGACAATTTGGCGTCGCGGCAAAGTAGGGAGGTATGTGATTAAGTTTGGGTCAACCGACCCCCATCTTCCCTTGTACATGTTCTATGTAATGACGATTCTCCCTGTCTCCCTTAGGCTTTTAGTTGGTAGTGCAAGGAGTGACACTTTAGCATTTGATGCAGTGTCGTATGCACCTCCTTGTACTGCTCTTCTTTCTTTGCCGTAGCTGGCTTGTTTGCTTCGTGGTAAGCTCTTTTGTAATCTTTGGCGTCTTTACCTGAATAATGCATTATCTTGTTCTCCAACAAAACATAAAAAAAAAAAAAAAAAAAGAAGTAGCGACAAGGGACATTTCCGGAAACTCGGAACGCAGACTCCAACGAATTGCAACATCGTATTAAAGTCGGACCTCGAAAGAAAACTACTTTGTTCAGATTCACTCTCGCAATCACTCTCTCTTCGTTTTTTCGACGACTCCAAATTCGTCGCCGAAAAACAGATATGGCGGACACTCTCGCCGCTCTGAGGTCTCTAATGGCGTCCCACTCTCCGCCTCTCGACGCCTTGGTCGTCCCTTCTGAAGATTACCACCAGGTCTGTCTCAATCTGTCAATTTTAATTATGCCCTTGTCACTCGACTTTAACGTTGTTTCGATGAAACCTTGTATCCGAACATTTTCGATTTTATTCATTTGATCTGTTCCTCTATCAAGATTGGAACTTTTAGATTGCAATTTGTAAATTTTGTGTTTTATTTTTTTATTTACTTTTAAGGATGTTAGGAGTGATTTTTGTGTTGTAATTGCAGAGTGAGTATGTTTCGGCACGAGACAAACGGCGTGAGTTCGTTTCCGGCTTCACCGGGAGTGCTGGTTAGTATTGTGATGTTGTTTAAGGATGCTGCTGTCTAAATTTGATTGCTTTAAGTTGAATTTTGAAGCTTTTAATGTTGTCGTGTTAAATTGTGTTCAGGTTTGGCACTTATAACGAAGAATGAAGCGCGGCTATGGACCGATGGTCGGTACTTTTTGCAGGCAACGCAGCAACTCAGTGACCAGTGGCAGCTTATGCGAATGGGAGAAGACCCGACTGTCGATGTCTGGATGGCAGATGTGAGTCACTGCTTCTTTGAGTAACTTCTGTTGTTATTTTCAATGTTGTATATTCAGTACTTTTGACCTTTTTCTATCGACGCTGGCATTAATTTACAAGTTGGTTCTAAATGATGACTCCAGTTAAATTACCTGTGACTTTGCGGATTCTTGTTTGCCGCTGTATTAAGTGACTTTTGTGATTTGTTTTTGTAGAATCTTCCTGAAGGTTCAGCCATTGGTATTGATCCTTGGTGCGCGTCAATAAACACTGCGCAACTATGGGAGCGTGCCTTTGCCAAGAAACAACAGAAGTTGGTTCAGACTTCCACAAATTTGGTAGATGAAGTTTGGAATAATCGCCCCCCTGTGGAAATTAATCCGGTCATTGTACATCCTTTGGAATATGCTGGTCGTTCTGTTGTGGATAAGTTGAAGGATTTAAGACAAAAAATCGTACAAGGGAACGCTCGCGGTATAATCATCTCAGCGCTTGATGAGGTTAGTCTGTTTGGTCTGTTGCTTTATGTGGCATCCTACTTTACTCTATTTTGATTTTGTCATGCGGTATCTCAATTTAATTGCTACTCTACAGGTTGCTTGGTTGTATAATATTCGTGGCACTGATGTTGCCTACAGTCCAGTTGTTCATGCATTTGCTATCGTGACATCCAAATCGGCTTTCTTTTATGTTGACAAAAGGAAGGTTTCTGCTGAGGTCAGTTAAACCATACACAGTTGATATACTATCATAAATAATACACACACACACATAGATACACACACATATCATCTTATTAAGCAACCTTCATAAGGCAGTGAATATTGGCTTGAAGTTATCAAGCCACCGGTAATAATAGATGCATTTACTATTTTCCATCACCAATTTTTGTGTCTTTAACTGATAACATTAATTGTACCCTTTGGACAAAATTATGCTGTCCCCCATTTCTTTTTCGTATATCCTTTTTTCCATGTCAGAATGCTAGAGTGAGCATGAGCAGTTAATTGGTTTAGTAGACATATCTGACAAATTCACTCGATATGCAGGTAAACTCTTATTTGGAAGAATATGGGATTGCTGTCCGGGACTATAAAGCAGTGAGCTCGGATGTTGCCTTGCTTGCGTCTAATCAGCTCAAACCTTCATCTACAGTTAAAGGAACTGAAGCTGAAAAGGGTAATGGTGGAAACAAAGCAGAAGAAACAGATAATGACCTCATATGGGCTGACCCTGGTTCATGCTGTTATGCTTTGTATTCAAGACTAAACCCCGAAAAAGTTATTTTACAGCAGTCGCCTTTGGCCCTAGCAAAAGCTCTAAAGGTAGCATGCTGCACTTCCTATCCTGTGGAGATAGCAATTTGTTTCTGATAGTTGTGCCAGTGATTTTTTTCTATTCATTTTTTCTTATCAACTGATTGCTCTAAAATTTTAGAACCCGGTCGAATTGGAAGGGTTAAAGAAAGCTCATATCCGGGATGGTGCAGCTGTTGTGCAATATCTTGTGTGGTTTGATAAGCAGGTAAATTGTGACACGTATGGTATTGTAATATCTTTAAATTTCTAAACAATATTTTCTTAGTTTCTATTCTATATGTTTTCCAGATTTTGATGCGTTTAGTTTCCTAGATTTGCAGCAATATGAAAGGCCTGAACTAATGCTTGAGCTTGTATAATAAAAATGCAGGCGCAGGAGATATATGGGGCTTCTGGTTTCTTTTCGGAGGGGGAGGCAACAGATAAGAAAAACCACTCGTAAGTTTGAGTCTCCTTGTTGAATTTCATACCTCTCATTGTGTGGATGAGATGCATCATGATCTTGATATGGTATGATTTACGATGTCAGCAAGATGTGAAAATCACACATAGAACTGCTTTTGTCCAATTGCAGTTAATGATCATCCATTCTATGGACTTTCATACAGTTGATGCCTTATACCGTTCTATGCTTAATTTAATATTTTAGTTGCTCAATATACGCTGAGTGGCACAAATTTTTATAATTCTATTATATATTTGCATGTTGATTGAATCGAATGAACTATGACAGGAAAACTGCAAAGCTAACCGAGGTGACTGTAAGTGATAAGCTGGAGGGCTTTCGAGCATCAAAAGAGGTAGTGTGAACTTTTAATACGAAAATCCAACATGACGGTAGCAAAATTCCTTTGATACAAGTGTGCTTTTCCCTCATATATATTTCTTGGATCCTGTGATGTTCTTTCTATTTGGTATATTTGCAATCATGGTTCTGACTGTAAAAACTCTCTTCCACACTCAATAATATTTGCAACAAGCGGATACAGAAAATGAAATATGCTGTTCAATTTATTGTTAGATGTTTACTTGTATGCTTATCTACCTCCATGCATGTTTGGTTTGCTTGACATGATATGAATTTCTTTTTCTGTCATATTTGCAGAACTTTAGAGGTTTAAGTTTCCCTACTATTTCGTCTGTTGGCCCAAATGCGGCAATCATTCATTATTCACCAGAAGCAGAAACTTGTGCTGAGTTTGATCCGGACAGCATATATCTTTTTGACTCTGGGGCACAGGTTTGTCAAATGTCATGGAAGGTTCCGCTGATAAAAATTACCGACCAATTTCATTTTTAATGTTCTAGTGTATCATTTACTCACGATGCTTCTGTTTCTTTAATTTTTAATGTTGATGGCATGGTTGCAGTATCTTGATGGAACAACTGATATAACACGGACGGTTCATTTTGGCAAACCTTCAGCGCATGAGAAAGCGTGCTATACGGCAGTAAGTTCTTTT